GTGTAGTAGTGCTGCAGTAGTGGTAGCAGTAGCAGCAGCATTAGCAGTAGCAGTGGCATCAGTAAGTAGTAGTATAGTAGTACTTAGTAGTAGTAGTAGTAGTAGTTGTTGTTGTTGTTGTAGTTGTAGCAGTAGTAGCAGCAGCAGTAGCAGCAGTAGCAGTAGCAGCAGTAGCAGCAGTAGCAGCAGTAGCAGCAGTAGGAGGAGTAGCAGCAGTAGCAGCAGTAGCAGCAGTAGCAGAAGTAACAGCAGTAGCAGCAGCGTGGTGCGGCCGGTTTTCTTTCGAATAGCAGTGTATTGACGTGGTTGTAAAGCTGCTTACAATCGTCGCTAGCTCACTGATACGAGGGTGCTGTGAATCACATTAAGGCTTCCCCCCACAAAGATCAACGCTTCAATGGCATTGACAGTCCCGATAACACTGAGAACGACATGGACAGAAATGACACCTTGCGGTTCTGGGGTTCCGGCATTTGTTCTGGGGTTCCGGCACTTGTGATGTTCCCAGGATGAGAGCTTGACAGCACTCGTCCCTACGCCTGCTGCCAAGTACCTGTTGAAGAATCGAGATCTGCTTTTCGGTGACCACGTCCACAAGCATTCGCCGCCCAAATTGACTCCTAGCGGAGGTGAGGCAGTAGACACTGCTTTGCTGGGTGGCGACGACCCGTCAGAGAAGAACACGTCGAATTCTGAGCAACCCCCGTTTCAGGAACAGACTTCCCAGAAGCCGACGAAGACCAAGCCACGGCAAAAGATCTCGAAAGCACAACAGCAAGGACCGCAGGAAGGTGCAGCTGGATACGCATCTTTCAATGAGGAGACCACCTCTCACCAGATAGTGTCCGGGCCAGTGCCGCAGCCACAAAGGGAAAGTGGTGGAAGCCTTCCGCATACGATTCCTTATTCGGGGGAGCCATTCGCCGGCGAGAGTCTTTTCCCGCCGGGACGGCCAACCTTGGTTGTCGGCATTACAGGTGCTCCATCGGCAGGCAAGTCGTCCTTGGCACAAGGAGCTGCAGTACATGCTATGGCAACGCTACGGAACCCGTTCGAATGTAGTAGTAGCGCAGCAAGACTTTGACTTGGGCAACAAGGCAGGTCCGGGGGCGTGGTTGTGGGAGCGGAACCAGTGGTTGTCTTACTGGGAGTCCCCGGATGCTACGGACTGGGAGAAGATGGAGCGCGAGATGCTCGAAGCAGCCAAGCAGCATCCTATTGTGATTGTCGAAGGCCATTGCCTGTTTAGTTCAGAGCGATTGTACTGTTTCTTGAATTCCTTGATCTGGTTAGACGTAGATGAAGAAGGGTGCTGGGACCGCCGAGCCGAGTATCCTGGCGGATGGGAGCCCGCGCACTATTTCTACAAGTGCCTCTGGCCCGGCCACCGGTAACATATGTCTCAGGCGTTGGGCGTGCAGAAATCCGCGCCAGGATGTGATGGGAAGTCTGCAAGCATCGGCCCAGGTCGTTCTTTGAGTCTCCATGGCTTGGACCAGCCATCTGCACTCCGGGAGCGAGCCTTGAAGGCAGTCCTCCGGTGGGCTTCCACGATGGCCCCAGCTCCTGCAAGGGATCTTGCAACTTCTGTGCCAACAGTTGCTGCAGCCCCTCTGCTCATGCAGTGCCAATAAGCCTGCAGGATATCGCGTCAACCCTCAGCTACCGGATCCTACGTGACCTCAACACACAAACGGCATGGCCACGCCATGCATCACTGCATCACTAGGCTGCACCAGACAGCAGCCGTGCGTCTCGAAATTTGACACGGAGTTCTTCATAGCCTGCTGCCGCGTGCAGGAGCGACCGCAAGGTTCCTGCGTGGAAAAAGGGTAGCGCTGTCTCCATAAGTCCATGGTCAGGCTTTCTTTGACAGGTCGTCTCCTGGTGATGACATAAATCCAATTTGACATGTTGTAAGGCGCGATCAGCTGTTGGAGATTGAGCTTATCCGGCGATTTGCAGGCATCACAGACTAAGCACAGCTGTGGTTCCTCTAGTCTGGAGTGGATTTCTCAGGTAGCGCTCTGGCAGCTAAGGGAAAGAAAGGCAGCTGTCGTTGTTCTGCGAACTGTGCATTGGCTGCGTGCACAGCCCGTCGAGGACATGATTTCAACTTTCTTGACTTCCTTGGCACGCATCCTCGGAGGAATTTGCTGTGTGTTGAAGACTCGCATGCATGAGCCAAAGGTCGCTGCTTCCTCCTCCCAGTGGTTGCCTTGGCTCGAACGTGTGACCGCAGTAGCGTAATGGTAGTTGAAACAGCGATCAAGAAACTAGCCTCCTCCAGAGTACCACACGAGGCAGACGCAGCCCAGCAGCCTGAGATCGGAATGGCCGGTGCCTGTGCCGTCACGGCATATCCGAGAATTGCTTGAGTGCTCTACTGTTCATTTTGACTCGCTGCAGCCCCTTCCTGCTCAAGACAGTCGGGCTGTCAGTTCAGTCCCGAGGGTCGCTTGCCCAGGGCTCAGAGAGTCGGAGGATACCAGGAGTGCGCACAGCCCGCAGCATCTGAGTTTTTCTGAGGCCTAGACCATGCAGCACGCTCCGAGCGTGCCGTGCCTTCTTCAAAGCAACCGGAATACGATTCCACCGAAGAGAAGGGCAGACAATGAGAGGAGGGTGACCGTGAATGTCGTGGCCGCGCCGGTGCTCTGCCTTCCCCCGTCGCCTCAGCTTTCTTGCGCCTCGCCACTGTCAGCCTCCCCGCTCCACTCCCTCCTGCCAACGCCAACAGGAAGCCCCTACTCGACACCACGAGGTCGGGGCCCTTACAGCCCCTGCACCTCCCCAATTCCCTTACGGCCAGGCCACGCCGGATTCATGAGTCGCAGTGCCGACCAACTTCCGGGAGCACCCCTGCCGTTCCCTTCTTTGCTGACTCGCCCCCAAAGCCCGTCAAAGCCTTCTTGCCAGGGTGCAGTGAAATCCGGGGAGCAGGGGCAAGGCTTCGATGTCCAAGACTTTCCGCTCGGAATCATGGTCTTCGACCCCTCCAATGCTTCGCTGCGTGCGCAGCTCCTTGCAGCTTTGGGGGCGCCACCCCAGTCAACCTTCGAGGCCATGCGTGGATTTCACGGTGGCATGAATGAAGGCGTCGCGCCGAAACTAGAGAGTCGTCGAATTGCTATAGTTCGTGCCGCAACTTTTGTGGTCTTTTTGTCAGTTTTGCTGTTGCGATACACCGCAGATTCCTGGAACAGCTCAGGCATCTGGTTCGTGAAAGGGGGAGGCCACCAACAGTTCATTCCAAACGCCTTGCACTGCGCTGCAAGCACAAGTGCTGGAGCTTCTGTGTACGACAGCGTGAGGTCAAACGTTGGTGCTGAAACTGGTGAAGTTTGATCGGCTCCTTGTCCTGCTGTCCTAGGAGCTCCAAGACTTGTACTGGTATGCTTTTCGGTGTTTCACTTGCCCAGGTTCGCACCTCACCAGTTGGTAGAGGAACGAATGTTCACCAAGCTGTTCCAGGAGAAAGCTGCAGTTCTGCGCCGAGAATCGTTGCTCGTCATGTTGTTCTCCTTCCACGACGTGCCAGGTATTGAAAATCTTCACATGCATGTCGGAAGGAGCTTCCAGGCATCACAGAAGATCCAAATGTGGCGTTTCCTTTCAAAGTGCTGCGACTCTTGGGCCCTAACAACGTTCGAAAGCACGAGCCTGGCCTGCAGTAAGTTTCGCTGCTCGTGTGCATTCTCCAGAGAACGGGCCAATGGCTCTTGGCTGTCTACAGTAGAGACTAGATGCCACTGTGGAACCTGTCATCAGGACTTGATTGTGATGAAGAAGGCTCCAGGCAAGTCGTTGGACTATGTCATCTCGGAAAAATGGAGGACAGAAGCACTCACCATCGCGAGGAAATTCTCCCCAGCAGGTTAAGCTTTGATCACTAAGAAGCTTGCACGGTTTGAGTGCGAGTGACCCTTGTGAAAAAGTGACAATTCTCCAGCAGGAAGGGCCGCAAAGCCGATCTCATGAAAGTCTTCGGCAAAGTTGGAGAGTGCTTAGCAAACTTTCACAGGCCTCAGATCCAGCTCCGAAGATGAGTGCAAGCCCAAAAGAGGCACAAAAGAGGCAGGAGTGCTTTTTTGAGGCGATATGGGGGCCGACAGCACAACGACGCCGGCACTCAGAATATCCTTTGGGACGAGGACTCGAACGAAACCTCGCTTTGTATGGCTTCTTTATGCATGTAGCGGCAGTGCTGGAGGAGACACAGCATGTGACTCTGATCGACCTCGGCTGCATGGGGAACAAGTCCAACAAGACCGATGTACAGCGATTGAGCCAGGCTGCTGTTGGATGTGGCTCGTCGCGATCTTTCTGATGACTTTGACCGCTTCAAAGGTTGTGAAGAATCTGTCGAACTGCGCAGCTTATGGACCTGACCTTGTGGATGCTGCCTCAGCTCTCTCAGCATCATCACACATCTAACGGGGCAGCCAGTGCAGTTGAGGCCGCGATCTCTCATTTCCAAGAAGGCACAGCTGAGTCTGTCGGACTGTCGGACCCGCGACCGGGTTTGTCGGCAGGCTACAACACGGCCATGCAAACGAAGCCGTCCAATGAAACATGACGCGGCGCTGCGACTGCTGAAGCAGCATCCACTGTCTTGAGCGGGAGTTATTTTTCGTGGCTTGCCTGAGGTTCCTCTCGAGGTATACCCAATACCCAACCAACGTCACTCATGTCCATGAATAGTGAGTAAGTATAGATTGACCGTATTTGCCGTACTTGATATCCTGAAAGTGCTTTGAAGTGACATGCTCAGAGCGTTAGACAAGACAGGGCCAGGGCCCAGCCTCTCCCAAGAGAGCAGAGGCCAAAGCTTCAGGGAACAGCAATCGAAACTCACACGTGGTTGTGTTGCTGACCCTTTTATCTCGATTGCTCCCAAAGGGCTGCAGCCTTTCAATGATGCCGAAGCTGCAGAGGCAGCGGAAGCATCAGTTGGGGTGCTTTTCCCAGGTTTGTGGTGCAAAAAACTCTTCTGAAGCCTGCTCCCAAAACACCCCATGAATTGCTTCGTTTGTTGAGTGCTCGGCTTGCAGCCGGAATGCTGGAGCGCTCTGGCAGAGGCAGATGCTCAAGCTGAGCACCACAATCGGAGCAATATACTTCGTCGGCGCTGCCAAAGTTTTGAACGAATGGTTCGTGCCGGAGCGAAGTTTTTCCTGCAGGCTTCTGGCCGCGAGACATGGCAGGGTCAAATGAGGAAGTTTGTAGCAGCTCAGTCTTCACACAAGTCGCTGATGCCACACAAAATTTGCCCTACCACTGGACGACAGCCCATCTCTCGGAAAAGCGAGTGAAGCAGCACCTGGCACACTCGCTGGTAGAAGGCTTACGGCTTAAATGGTTCTCGCTTGTCAGTGTCCTTTTACCGGTTTCCGAGGTGCAGGAGTTGCACAGCTGGGGCTTGAAGAGATTCGGCGCCTCGGGCTCCGGACGTCTCGGGGTTGTCCTCGGAGCTTGGGTCAGGATGGAATCGAAGGGAGAAGAAGATCGACAGATGTTGCCAGAAGTGATCAGGTTTCATCGGGCTTCTCGACATGGGGCTTGAGGGCTTGAAGTGCATCAGAGACCGAAATGCCAAGGCCCCGCAGCCCGCAGGGCTTTGCAGCAAAGACTGCACGAGTGCCGAAGCCTTACTTGCTTGAAGGGCTCAGTCTTGGCAGTGCTGCGACAAGTAGTCTTTGCAACATCACCGCAGCACGGTGCATCGGGCATGGCGGCCTGGTACCTCTCATTGTCATAGATGGTTTTCATTCTGAGCAGCATGCAGAGCTGAGCCCTCATGACTGGCCAGGCCTTGAAGGGAGTGGGATGGTTCTACGGGCCGAAGCACGTGTGATCAAGGAAACAGCCGTCTGAAGGCTTTTGATCTTCGTGGTGATTGAACAGGCAGACCCCTTCAACTCGCCTCTTGGGCCAATCCTAATCTGCCAAGAGGTTGTGAACACCAAACGTGTGGCTGCCGGGGTCATAAGCCCTGCAGCGCAATCACCACGCAACTTGCAGTCGTCATGGGAGCTGCCGTGCCAGGAGGGCTGTGGTGAGCAACCCCATCACAAAAGCGAATGCCCAAAATCTGCTTCGAAAGTTTATCCTTTGCGAGAGAGGACAGATTTGAGAGCGCATGTCGGAATCGCACGGGGCCTTGTGTCACTCCCCCGGGTCAGGCAGGTTCGAGGCGCCAGGCTCAGGGTAAAAGGCCAAAGCAGGTAGCCGCTGGCGATGGTGGCTAGTGACATGCTGCCGATTTGAACTGCAACGCCCACCACATCCTTTGCAACACATGTTCTGCATGCAGCAGCCCGACTGCTAGCGGTTTGGCAACGACTTTTTGCTGATGTTACTCTTCCTGACTTTATTCAGAGGCAAGTGTCTACTTTGCTGTAGTTTGTTGATGCGGCGCTTCGTCATGTCCAATGGGGTATCACATTGATTTGCCTCACACTTGTGGAAGCAGTCACGTGTTTTGCCACGACTTCCGCCGTCTTGCCGGGAAACCCAGCGCTAATAACACCGATGCTAAGTCTGCAGAGGTTTTCATGAAGCTCGGTTTCGATGGAAGTCTGTGCCAGAGACTTAGAAGTGACAGAGTGAGTAGATGCTTCGCATCGCATGCAACATGCATGCGGCCCTGTAGCATGTTCTATGCCATTGCTCAATGGCCAAAAGACAGTACTCCCACACCAGCCAATGCTGGTCACTGTGGTAGAACATTCCCATCCAAGATGATGCTAGCAGTAGTTGTAATGAGAGTGCTCAGGGTATGATTTGCAAAAACAGTAAGCAACTCGATCCTCTTCGAGCAAGCCGAGGTTTGATGGCTCCATCGACCAGGGTCTGGTGCACTTGGAGCCTGGCATCCCGGGAAGTTCGCATGGGTAGTTCTTCTAACTCGGGCCCCCTGAAAAGGCATTTAAGGAGCTTGACTGCAGCAGCGGCATGCGTTGCCATATCCGGCCCTGCCTCAGCCGCCTCAGGCTTTGCAGTCATGGAGACGCATATTTGCTTTTCAGAAAAGTTAGGGAGAGTAATCAGACAAGAGTGCCACATCCAATGATCCAGCTACCTTTATGGATCAGCCAGAGTCAATGCAATCTAGTTTTGCAGCGTGAGCCGCGTGCCAACGAATGGCAGCAGACGTTGCAGAAGGCCTGGTATGCCTCGCTGATTGAGCTTGTTGGTTGCAGAATGACTTTTTAAGTGCAAAAGTGGCCTTGAACACTTCTGGCATCAAGCCAGCATGGAGGTCAAGAGCACCCTCTTGAGCGTGCCCACTTCTGGTCAGTGGCGAGCATCAGTTGGCTCACACCTTTGGCACGGAAAGCGGTAAACGGCAACCTAGAGGTCCATGATGTTTGGAAAGCACCTGCAGGCCTGACTCCGGGAAGTGCCTTTCATATCCTCGCAATGTACCCTGGCATTTTGCAGGACAAACGGTGGACGCAGCCGTGCATCGCTTCAAGCTTGCTTGGGAGGTGGAGCAGCCGCGTGGCTTCGCAGTTGCTGAAAAGCTCCCATGTATCAGTAACTTTTACAGGAGCCCTCATAGTAGCGCTTCTGTGGCATTGCTTCAGTTTTGCTACCAGATCAGGCAGAGGAAAACGCCATCGGTCGCCAGGGCCATGATTCGCGCGAACGCAGGTCGCGTGGCGGCTTCTGCATCCCTGCTGCTCCTGTTCATGAGCACCTCGGTGAAACCATCGTCACTAGTCATCGTCACAGATGCGCAGCCCTGGCATCAAAGAGCAAGACAGACCAGGGGGCATCAGCTCTGAGGTGTGCAGTTGGCCCAGCCGCTCCTCATCCAGAGCTTGGTGAGTTTTCTCAACACGCCTGCGGCCACTCCAGGCCCCCTGAAGTCTCACCACGGCAGTTCCAAAGCTCTCTAAGTCTAAGATGCCCCTAAGGTGAAGGCTGGCTGATGGCTTCCCTGATCTTTACCTCGGCCCTGGCATCCTCGGTCCTCGTCTCCGAGTTCTTCCGGCACGGCTTTGTCTTGGCAGTCTTGTCGAGGCGTGTTCTGGGCAGAGGTAAGTCCTGCAATGTTGCCAAGGATACAGCGAACTGGAGCTAAGGGCTAAAGGGATAGTTGAACTGTTGAGGACTGCTGCCATGAGTGCCATCTACGAGAAGGCCATCAACATGTCTGTGCTGGCACGATCTGGCGGCTCCACGGGCAAAACCACGAACTTGATGGCCGTTGACGCTGAGCGGCTTTGCTGCAAGAAGTGAACGAGGCAAACATGGATGCCACTTGACATGCTGCAGAGAGTCTGCAATCACTTGTTCAGGAAATTCGTGATGGCCGCCCAAGTCTTTCATTTTCTTTGGATCAGCCCGGTGATGATGATATTCTGTGGCATTGTCATGGCCTTCCGCATCGGCCCCGCAGGATTTATCGGTCTCGCGTTCTTATTCGTCACAGTTCCGGTTCAACACCTCCTCGCGAAGAGGGGAGGCCAGATTCGCGTCAAAGCCCTGGCCTTCACTGATGAGCGAATGAAGTTCGTCACTGAAGTGGTGCAGGGTATCCGAGTGGCCAAACTGTATGCATGGGAAGCTGCCATTTTCCAATACGTTGCTTCTGTTAGACGGCGAGAGTGTGCAAAGCTTTGCGCCTCCCTTTTGATGAAGATTGCAGTGCGCGAGGGCCTCCTCTTAGTGACGCCAGCCCGGTGGCTCAGTTTATGGATACCTTTTTTTTCCGAAGCGCCTGGTGACTTTTAGAGTCTTTAGAGAATGAGGCAGTTGCCCTGGGGCTGATACTGGCCGGGAAGATGTGGCAGGATGGGGAGCTGGAGCTGTCCGAGGCCATCATGATCCTTGGACTACTGAACACCCTCAGGTTTCCGATGAACTTGCTCGCGACGTCATTTGCCGCAACTCAAGACTGCCTCGTAGCAGCAAAGCGAATCTCCGCGTTTCTCCTGCTTGAAGAGAGTCGTCGGCGTGCTGAAGGTCCCACAAACGACCCAGAGTATTCAGCCCATGCCGCTTTTGCCGAGGGGGTTGTGTGTTGCTGGGATCCCGCCCTGGCGTTTCGCTTGCGGATCCCTTCTTGTCGGCTGGTTCGCGGCAGCCGAGTCGCCATCCTGGGTCCGGTTGGCTCTGGCAAGACCTCCTTCCTGTCGATGCTGCTGGATGAGATGCATCTTCTCCAAGGCAGCAGCTTTCTGGATGGCCGGGTGGCGTACCTGGCGCAGGTGCCCTGGAGTCGTGCTACATTCAGGTAGAGATGTTTGGACAACTTGCCTCGGAGATTCCAAACCCTTCTACTTTGAGCCACATACACCACTGAAGACGGGTATGGATGATGATGACAGAAGCACACATCTCAAGAGCGCACGGCAAGACTGCGACGCCATGCGGACATGACATGATACTACTGAAGATTGCATAGGTGCGTGCTTGTGGATGGCAGGTGCCCTGGATTCAGAATGCCACCTTGCGAGCAAACATCCTTTTCGGCCTGCCCATGGATGAGGACAGGTACTGCTTGGTGTGAAAAGGCAGGTCTGCTTTGTCAAAGGTCCGAGAGCTTGCTTCATGCCACGCCCTCAGAGACAAAAGTACTCGTAAGGCTTAACAAAAGCAGCGGCTTTCGGCCATCGCTAGGACCGTTAGGACGTGTCGGAGAAGAGATGGTGCTAGTCAAGCCGTGTTTGTGTCGTGACAGGACATTTACGATGAAACTCTCGAAGCTGCAGCGCTGCAGACTGACTTAGAAGCCTTATTGGATGGAGACCTGACAGACATCGGAGAGCGGGGGATCAACCTCTCTGGTGGGCAGAAAGCTCGGGTGGGCTTGGCACGCTGCTTGTATGCAGCTGCAACAAGAAATGCTGATGTTGTCATCTTGGACTCCCCCTTTTCTGCCTTGGACACGCTGACGGCGCAGACTGTTGTTGAGGGCCTGATCCGCATGACCAGTGGTTGCACATTGGTGTGTGCCGTGTCCTCCCACACTCATCTCTTGCGGAACTTTGAAAGGATTCTCATCATGAGTGATGGGGCGATCCTTGCAGATGGGTCTCCGGAAGAGCTGCGCCAGCAAGTCGGAAATCTTCCCCATGTGGACACTGAGCCGACACAGACCAAGCCAATCGAATCTATGAAGTCGCCGAGCAAGGCCCCAAGAGAAGCATCTCGGCGTCTGATGCGAGCAGACACCGTAGCCCAGACCTTCCCACTCACTGCTCTGGGCAAGTGGCTTGGAGGGCCTGGTGGGCGTTCGCAACGGGGTTTGCTAATCGGTGTACCCATTTGCCTTATTTTCTTGGCAGGACAGGGTTGTCGCGTCATCACCGATGTGAGCCTCACTGAGTGGGCCGCTGGCCAGTCGGAGTTCTCCACTTCTTTAGTCTTGCTTGCTGTGCTGGTGGTGCTGTTGGTGCTGCGCATCACCTTTTGTGCACTGGCCAGCTTTCGTGCCGCACGGCTTCTGCACAACGATATGCTTTGGCGTCTCCTGAGGGCACCTGTCACAACCTACTTTGACGTCGTCACGACCGGAGAAATCTGCAATAAATTTTCCAAAGATCTGGAGTTCACAGACACGCAGCTGCCGGAGCTTTTAAGTCAATTCCTGTCAAACTGTTCGCTGCTCTTTATCATCTTCGGGCTGACCATCTTCGCTGTGCCGTGGTTCGCTGCCATTCTGTGTTTGCTGTCTATTGTCTTCGTCCTCGTTACCGTTCAGTCGGGATATCTCTTGCGTGCTCTGCAGCGATTCGAAAGTGCATCGAAATCTCCGATCTACACCTCCTTCTCGGAGACATTGTCGGGCTTGCAGACAATCTGTGCTTGGGGACATCAGGAGCGTTTTCACGAAGCACACACGAGGGTTATGCGGCACAACCTGCGCTTCTTCCACGCAGCCAGCATGTCCGACATTTGGCTCCAGTTTCGCTTGGAACTCTTGACCGTGTTTATCATCGGCAGCTTCACCTTCCTGGCTGTCGGTCTCCGAAGTTCCATAGATGGCAACACCGTGGGCTTGGCACTTGTCTATGCGATACAGATGACGGCGATGTTCCAGAGATGCACGAAGCTGGCAATCCTTATTGGGCAGATGCTGACCGCTTGCGAGCGCGTTCTGAGTTTCGAGAAAGTTCCACAAGAGCCTGATCTTGTTCAGCCACGGGACATCAAGCTGCAGGAGTGGCCCCAAGGATCCATCGCATTCGATGATGCTACTTGAGAGAAAGTCGTAACCAAGAGTTGCCTATGAAGCATCTCAAGCCTCAGACTCTGCAAGTTGCAAGGTTTCTGTGCAGTACCGGGATGGTGACCTGGTCTTGAAGGATGTTTGCTTTTCCGCCAATGCGGGTACTCGCGCACCTTGTCAGCAATCGCTCGGCGAAGAGAGCTGCAGCACCGAAGAACCTCAGAAGTGATTGCCTCGCAGATCAGGTAGGAATTTGTGGACGAAGTGGCGCCGGTAAATCAAGCGTAGTCATGGCTCTATTTCGCATGGTTGCAACTTGCCGTTCACTCATGTGATTTGCGTGCACTTCGAGCGCAAGCCTCATCCAGGCTGGCACAAGCTGTGATGTACACAACTGACTCTATCAAGGACCCGTGTGGAGGCAGAATCATGATCGATGGCATTGACATCGCGACGGTCGGCGTGCACACCCTGCGGCAGAATCTAGCCATCATCCCGCAGGAATGGCAATTCATCATCAGCTTTCTTCTCACAAAGCTGCATCGCCACGCTTCGTCCAGCTGCGTCTTTGAAGCGTAGCATGACGGCCAGGAGCCCATCGTCTTCAGTGGCTCTTTACGCTCCAACTTGGACCCATTTCGCCGGGCTTCGGACGACACCGTGCTCACAGGCGCGCTGGAGCAGGTGGGTCTACAGGGCGCCTGGGATGCAGCGAGCAGTCTGTGCACTCGGGGCGCCTTGTTTTTCGACGCGACAGCCTTGAAAGGTCTTGTGAAGGAGGCGGGCTTGGAGATGGCGATTGCCGAACAGGGTGGGAATCTCTCGCAGGTGGGCATTCCTCGTTCTTGTTATCCTGCTATATCCTGCTATATTCTCCTCTTGCTTTGTTTGGAGTGACAAAGCGTCCAGTTGCAAGGGTCAGCGACAGCTACTGTGCATTGCCCGGGCACCTTGGCGCTTGATGAGCAGACAGTGCTGCATTTGTTCCGTAGTTTGTGCTGGTGCACGCCCCAGGCTTTTGTCAGGAAGAACCGGATCATGGTGCTGGATGAAGCCACATCTTCTGTGGAGCCTTGTCTCACAGCAGGGACTTTGAGAAGACGGCGCCGAGGCCCTGCATTCTTAGCTTCTTGCTTGCAGGATGAGCAGACAGACGCTCTCATCAAGAACGTGCTCCAAGCGCACTGGTCCCAAGGCCGTGCAGCAGTGATCGGTGCAAGGCACAGCAAGGTACGGATTGTGCTGGCACATCCTGTCGGCAAGGTCATCAAAAGTGTACTGTCCTCACTGTCGCCCACCGCTTGAGCACTATACTGGATTATGACAGGAGATCTCCATGCCGTCACAGAGAGCTGCAGAACGTGCCTTCCTGCGGAGGATTCTGGTGCTGAACAAGGGGGAGGTTGTTGAGTTTGATGCTCCAGGCGAGCTGCTCTCGCGCCCGGGAGGTCACTTTGCATTGATGGCGCCTTTTGGCTGCAAATCTTGGGGCATTTGCAAAATTGCTGGTGCCTTGGGCTGTGGCCCAGGAAGGAGAGCATGCCGGAGAAGTTCACAAAAGCTTCACTCTAGCAGCTGTAACGATTTTAGCGAGTGGAAGAGCCAGTGCCTCTTGCCGAAATGGCTAAAGAGCCTCCGGCTTGAGAGTCCGTCCCATTCACCGATTTTCCTACAATACCCTACAAAAGTGCACATGCGAAGCCTTGAAGTGAAGCCACCTGCGAAAACGAGGAAGACCCTCCAGCAGGCGGCTTCCCCTTGAGCTAAGCCTGGCATCACCTGCCACCCGTTTTGCTGACCCTGAGAACGAACAAAAATCATGCGCTTGGTTCTTGGGGAGGGCAGCAGTCAACTTTGCTGAGGCTCGGAGCTGGTGGTGGCGAATGGGTACGGCTCTGAGCCTCGCCTCCCTGAACATCGAAGTCGTGGGTGCTGGCCGCGTTGGAGGTTGCTGCGCAGGCCGCCCAAGACAGCCGCATCAAATGGGTGCGCCTGCCACAGTCGGCCAAGATGCCTCTTCAGTCCAGCCCCCACCGGCTTGCTGGTGAGTATTCCTTGCCAGATCGCTCTCGAGATCATGCGCGACCGAGTTAAAGCCTCGGACGCAGGGTGTATATGCGAATCTTGGAAGAAAGCATAAGAAAGCTGTGGTTGAGGCGCACAGCATACTGCAGAAGGCTGTATTCCAGGCACGGCACAGTTGTGTATGGAGCCCCCGTTTCTGTTCGGAGAAATTGAAGTCTTCAGCGGTCGGCACAGGGCCTTCGCAACATTTCCATCGTTTGCGGGGAAGCTGCTCAGACCTTGGAGCGCGGCACCCGGCTGCGAGTCAAGTTTAGCCTTTGCTGCTTACAAGCATGCTCCGAAGACTTGCTCAGAATTAGATCAGGTCGCTATTTCCAAGCAGCTCTATCTCCCACATTTTTATCAATTTTCCCGAGCCGCGGCAAGCTAAGCTGGTCTAGTGTCGGCCATGCAACGGCTCATGAACTCCAAAGCAGAAGCGCACCAAGGCCTTTCGTGTCTGGTGACGAGGCGGCAGAGTGCGGCCTCCTAGCTTCGAGCACCGCAACAGAGACCCTCAGTCACCTCACGCCGGTCGGCATCAGAGGTCTAGCTTTCACATGATGACCGAGCACCTTTTCGTAGAGTCCGGGCCGTAGCTACAGGCTGCAGTTCCTCCGGCCATCTCCCCCACCCAGAGTCAGGATGGATCGTGTCCTACGGAATGGATGCCGCATCACCATCCTCTCGGACAATGCAAGGAAGCGCTCGTGGCTGGTTGCATGCGAGCCGTGGATCCGTGAAAGAAGAGGTACATGCGGACAGTTGCCAAAACTGTGCTGGACCGAGCTTGCCATCAGCTCTGTCTCGCGACACTGATCCTTTCACTGAGGTGGCGAGTTGCAGCCTTACAAACTTACAGTTACGTGTTTTTCACCGATCCTAGAGCCGAAGCTGATAGCAGAAGCCGCCTGCTCCATTCATCGAGGCCTTGCCTCGGCGCAGAGGGTCCGCTTGGCCTCCGCACGGGCCCTTTTTTGTATCTGCTGAGTCCATCCAGAAGAAATCCCAGAATTCCGGCCGGAGCTTTGTTTGATGCAATTTCTGGGGCGAAGAGGTACTGCTTTTGCCGGAGATGGTCACAACCGCTGAACCCTCCTTGCCTAGAACAACGGCTCGTGTTAGCATTGTGTTAGCATGACTCCTCCGGTCTCATACTCATGACAAGCCAGAACTGCCAAAGCGCCAGCACCAAACAACCCCGCAGCCGAGCCCAAGTGTGGAACCTGGTTCCCAGGCCTCTGCAAAGCAGCTGTGGGGCCATGGCGAGTGTCCGGAACATGAGAGCGTTCATGGCGTGCGACTCTCAGTCCTGGGATCCACAGCAGCGGCAATGTAATCAGATCACACCCTCGAGATTAATCGGCCCCTGCCTTAAGGAGCGAGTGTAGGCTTGCAGAACAAAGGGGTTTGGGGGTTTTTAGGGGTTCTTCGGGCTGCTTAGGTGGAGCTCTACCAGGGCTGGCCGGAGGCTTCCTGTGGGCATGCCGTTCGACTCTCAGCTCTTCCTTTTGCTTAATGACCCTTCGGCGAAGTCCTTTGCGGAGGTGAAAGCAAGCTCCTACTTCGACACCCTTTGGGCCATGGGCAAACGTGTGGATCGCTTCTACATGGTCCTGTCCGGGCCTCGTTGCTTCGCTTCGAAGCAGGTGGTCTCAACATGTTGCGTGGTCAAAAGGCAAAAGGGGGAGCAAGCCGGAGGCGAGATCGGACCGGGGGGGAGGGACATGCGCGGACCCATGAAGGCTCTTGCATGGGCACCGGGGGCGAGCCTCTACCATGCTCAGGAGATCTTCAGAGCGGCAAGAAGCGCAGCTCCACAAGAGACAGGAAATCGACCAAAGCGCGCAAAGTTCCATGGTTTTGGATGTGCTCGCTTTCTCCATTGATGCTGTCAGCTGCGTGGCTGCGGCTGCTTCTACCAATCTGGCAGGTATTCTGCTGCCATGGTTTGTAGTTTTTGGCTGAGGGCTAGACACTCGGCTTTCTCTGCAGGTTCCTTCACGACCTGAAGTTTGCAGCACGTGCAGCTTTTGTAGCCACACCTCACAGCCCATCCACGAGCATTGTGCGCAGTAGAGTCACCAAAGCCTTTTGCCTTTTCCGCGCCGCATTCGCCGATCTTCGCCAGACTCCCGGGTCCCGACCTGCGCCGACGCTTTCCTTTGCAAAGTGCAAACGTTCAGGTCATGTCGGCTACAGCTGCGGAAGAGCTCCACACTGAGAGACCACGTAGTCACCACGTAGCCGCGTAGCACTTTCCCGTCGTCTTGCCACGAATTTTGGGAAGGAATCCTCGGTCTGCAAGTCTCTCGATGGTGTTTGATTTGTGTGTGTGAGCCCTTCAGGTTGGTCAAGAAGGCTGAGCAGAAGATGAAGGGTGGTGCCAAACCAAGTTCACTCGTCGAGATCAAGGTGACAACTTGGGAGCGGCCATGCAAACTGCCTGGGAAGTGTGAGGCGGTGGTCTTTGGGGCTATCTCTCCGGCGGACCCAAGTACGATGAGGCGAGCTGTAAGCGCCGTTGACATGTCCCTTTCAGTGGATGCCACAAAAAGGCCATTGAAATCTACCAGCAAGCAGCAAACCAGTACAAGATGGCCAAGATGTGGCAGGAGGCCTTTTGACCAATCACAGAAGGTTGGAGCCGTCTGACATGGCAGTTGAAAGGCTGGGAACTGCTTCGTGCAGTGTGCCTTTTGCGCGGAAAAGTCGGGCTCGCAGTCCGACCAGGCCAGCTTCTTAGATCCTGTCAGTGAGGGGGGAATGGAGCTGCACAACCCTTACGATTCGAAGGCTGCGTCTGTTGTGGTCCTGCTTTCCTTACTTGCAGGCCAACTACCTTTCCGAAGCTGGCAACGTCCGGAGCTTGTCTGCTGCTCGGCTTCCACCTGGCCCAACTCTCAGCTCTCCCACAGGTGTTGAAAAAGGTCTCCACGCAGCTTGCGGTCGAACAGCTGGAACAGGACTGCAGCCCTGCGTCTCACATCGTGATGCCCCCTTCGCCCTCCTGTAATCCGGTGCCCGCTGAATGGCTTCAGGCTGTAAGCATCTACAGCGCAGGTGGCCGATTCCAACAGGTCGCTTTGTGGTTTACGTCTCGTCAGCAGGTGTTAGACTCTTAGACATGCACCATCAGCATCTGATGTCCATGCACACTCACACCGCGAAAACAAACAGATGCAATGCTTGGTTGCAGGCTGGCAAGCTCCTCCTCTCCGTTGCAGAACTGTATGAGGCCACGTGCCTGCGGACGCGATGTCGGCTCCTGTGTTCAGACGATGTGACGGCGCTTTTTGGGCAGAAGGCGGAGCGCCTGCAGCACAAGGAGTGCAAGGCAGAGGGAAGAGCCAAGCAAGCTTCGGACCGATGCGGTCTTCGACACATTGTGCACGATCATGAGGCCTTCTACAAGCGGGCGGCTGAGATGTTTGAGCTCGCGGACCACTCCGAGTCAAACTTTTCAAAGTCTGGGCCTTAAGTTGTTTTGTCATCTCTATCGGTCTTATTGGTGAGCTTTGGGAGCGGTGCAGGTGCAACCTCAAGTATGCGGAGTTCGCCGCTAAGGTCCCTGTTGCACACACATTTAGACTTCAGTCCCTGGCACCTTCTTGACGCAGGACGGCGAACTGGAGGAAGCCATTCGGATATTTGAATCCGAAGGCCATGTCCCAAGCGCCATCATCGATCGTGCAGCAGACAGCTGTCGGGCAATGTGAAGTCAAGATTGAATTTTTTTGGCACAAAAGGTGAGAAGGCCCTTGGCAAGGCCTTGCTTCAATTTGGAGCCAAGGACCTGAGGGCTGCTGGCATTTGGGGGAGTGTTCTCTTGTGTTCTCTTGGTCGCATGGAGCCGCCAGGAGCACTTCCTGAACGCCGGAATCCTGCACTTGGTAGGCCCGGTACCCCTTGAAGCAACGAGAAACACAGCATACAAAGCTACTGTTGGTCACCGTCATCCTGGTCACCATCACGCTCGCCAGCATCATCGCCATCATCATCATCATCATCACTATCTTATCGCCTCCGTTACCACCATGATCGCCACCACCATCTTGATACTCGTACTGGTTTTAAGTGTGTGTGAGGCTGTACTTGCGACTCCAACTAGTCGCCTCGACTGCAGCAACATTGACTTGGACACACTATCTGCAGATGAAGTGAAGAGCCTCTCAACTGAGGGAGTCCTTACATAAAGTCACCACTATCGCAACGACATTAATGGCTGTAGCAGCAGCAGCAACAACAGCAGCGGCATCATCATCAACAACAACAACACCAGCAGCAGCAGCAGCAACACCAACGCCAAAGCCACGACCACCGCTGCCGCCGCCGCCGCCACCTCCACCGCCACCGCCGCCACCACCAGCACCACCACCACCAACAACAACGACAACAACAGCAACAACAGCAACCACAACAACAACAACCACCACCACCGCCACCACCACCACGACCATCACCACCACCACCACCAACAACAACAACAACAACGTTATCGCCGTGGTCATCCTCATCACCAACATGACGTGCAGGCTTGATTTTGCGACATTTGGTTGGAGGATTGAAGTGTTTCTGGTGATGCTCCTTGCCCGGCACCCCATCATCAGTTCTTTCAGCCTCGCTTAGCTGCCTAGTCCCTTAGCTGCCGGATGCGATGGCATTGGCCGCAGCCTCTTGAGTTCGGTTTTGCCATTCTGGCTTTGTTTGCCGTCTGCTGGCTTTCGTGCAAGTGTCATCCGTCCTGAACTCACCAAAGCCGTCCAAGAGGTGGTGACAGTGTCACGGTGAACTTGGCACTGGACAAGTACAGGCGGGTCATGTGAAGCGGTTCATGAGTTCCCATGAGGGTCCCCTGATTCAACATGCTTTGTATTCGTGTTGGTAATAACAAGGTCGAAAGAAGCAATTGCTAGCAGACACGGCCACCATGAGGTGGTGAGCTTCTGCAGAAATTTGCTGCACTGAAGCTTGGCAGGTCTCTGGATCCTCGTTTCGCCAGCTCGAGAGAAGGACTTCATGCAGTCCACCATTCTTCCCGATTGAACAGCCCACGAAACCCGAACCACAAACCTACTTTCCAGGAGAACTGCTGGGCAACTTGGCCCAGGCTTTCGAGGGTCCGCTCCTAAGCCGTAATCCTCCGCAGAGCTGTTCCGTGTCGCGAGAATGTACTTTTGTTTATGATGGTGCTGTGGCTTGTTTGCTGTATGCTGCTTGTTGTTTTCTGATTGCTTTTGGCGTTTGTTGCTTGCGGTTTTCTATTCGTTGTTGCATGATGTTTGTTGTGTGTCGTTGTTCAGTTGTTTGGGTTTTTGGTGATATGGTTGATTGCGATGAGTGTGATTGTTGTTGTTGCTGCTGGCCGAAGATGATGCTGTCCATGCCTCCTGCCACGTTTTCTTCTGCGGAGGATCTAACCCCGAGTTTTGCCGTGTAGCAGGGTCCTTTGCATCGGATTTTGCAGCGGCCCGACTGTTGGGCTTTAGGGCTGCAGGGGATTATTTTTCAGATTCGGGCCTTTAAGGCTTTATCTAGGTAGGGTTGACGATTGGAGTCTTGGTGTGACGGATTTAGAACTTGAATTAGGTTTTATGTTTCCTGCCATCGGCTTGCCTTGCTGCTAAATCTGGTTGCAAACCTGCATTCACCGAGCATTACACTTGAATTACACTTGAACTTTGTCGAAAACCACACTATTTGCGCGTTGTCTGAAACAAGTGTCCGCGAACCACACGGCAAGAAAGATCTCGAGCGCCACGAGCACTCCAGAAAGCTATGAAACCCACATCGAACAACACGAACGACGACAAGCATGCCGCAAAACTTCGTCCTGGACTTTAAGCACTAGGTTTCTGCACATTCCTGCAAAAGTCCTACAACAAGGAGCGATGCACCCTGTGCCGCGACAGACGTTCCCGCTTCCTCGTTGTCATTGATGCTACTGCGGGTTCGGGGGATGTGAGGATTGGTTTAGGACCGGGGTCAGCACTCTGCCTCCAAGACGGGGACGTCGATGCCTTCGTGGAAAAGCTGGGTGATTTTGATGACCGGAGCCAAGTCGAGATACCGCAAGAGTTGGCAAAGCAGCTGGGCATCTTTGAAGACTGGAGGCAATCAAGCCACTCGACGCTTGGAAGACGGAGTTCCTTGTCAAGGCAATGGCAGCGCGCACACGGCGGCACCACAACGCGCATTCATGCAACAGCTTCAGGTCAAGGAACACCTGCAGCCGTCCAACGCAAATGCTACAGAGGCCTCGTTTCATAGATGCAGTATTCCTCCTGCCCTGCACGGCTACGGAGGCAGTGGACCTCTCCTGAGGGCCGGCCGCATGAGGTGCCCGCGTTCGAGAACTGCCGGTAGTGGCCGTACAGCACCATCGGCTTCGATTAGGAAGTTTCACCAGCATGTACAGACCCACAAACAGCATCTAGCAACCAGGACTCGAAAATGCACGTCAGCGTTCTGCAGAAAGCGATTGGAGTCCGTGCGATCTCTGAAAGCAGCCCAGCAAAGGTCGCTTCTTTGCAGTTTCGAATCTGGAACTGTTCATGACAACGAAGAGCAAGATGCCTCATATCAGGATACACTTGAGCCCATACCAACACCCACTGCGCTCACTATGCAAAGCTTCTCATCATCGGTCCGACATGGCCCCAGACACAAGCAGCTGTTGTAACTAGCACTCGTCTTCAATATTTTAGTTTAGCCAGCCACTTTGAGCCAGTAAGCCGTAACAGGCCTGGCACATCAGTCATGGGGCCTTAGTTAAATACACTAAGCTATGCAACCCCAAGGAATAACCCAAGTAGTATCGCAGACTGGGTGCGCTATGGAACGTGATTCGTTTGACTGAAATTGCCCGGGACCTAATTTGGTACATGTATAAGCAAGGCTGACGAACATCATGTCATGCAGGAAGCCGGCCATCCACTGGACCAAAGTCATGCAGGCGGAGACCATGTGATGAGATAAGATTCAGAGAGATATCCAGAGAGCGTAGTTTTTTCTTCATTGCAGAGACTGGCCCCAGCTCAGGGCCCTGGAAAAGAAAAGTTGTAAGTCATGCTGTCAGTCAGGCCTTCCTCTGTGTTTGTCTCTGAGCACACATGCCTGTCTCTATGCGTTAACCGTATATACATATGTATCTACGTGCGTCTGCAAATATGTCATTTCGACAAGCAAGCGTGCACAAAGTCACATACATTCAGGGTACATGCACACACAAAGAATTTACGTATATGTGCCAATGCATGAACAGACATATGCCCTTGCATGCATAGATGCATACACATGCACACATGTCTACCCAATCACTTTCTTGGCCGCTATGTCTTCCAAGGAGCTGTCCTTGGTGGAAGGCAACCAACGGCGAGACTTCGCAGACATTGCACCTCGGTTTCAGCGATGGAAAACAGTCGATACGGCGGCACTCTTGATGCATACAACATCCAACAGTAGCACAGGTTTGGCAAATAGCAGAACGCAGAGGTTGCAACGAGTTCGCGCCTGCCTGAGTCAGACTTGCATAAAGATGCCAGGAAAGGTGAAAGCACGCTTTCGCATGCCCGTGGAAGGTGGTGAGGTACGACTGCGGGCACTCACTCCGAGCCGAAGTCTGGGCTCCTCATCTTCCCAGCACAAAGGAGAAGCTGAAGCCATTGGCCCCATGCAAGCTTCGCAGAGATTCTTGCCTGAAAGGACTATGGCACCCACGAGGCAGACCGGTCGCGGTACGTGCAGCACTGCTTGCACGTCCGGGACTGAAATTTTGGGGTCCGGATAACACCGAAGTCGCAGAGGTGCTATGAGGTGCCAGAGTTACATGTGAGGTCCTGACTCGCCATCCCGCAGAACCACAGGCTCGGGGGTTGAGACGGGGTACTTGCCTTTGCTGCCGGGCTTGAAGTCTACTACTACTACTACTACTACTACTACTACTACTACTAGTACTACAGTACTACAGTACTACAGTACTACTACTGCTATTATTATGTGCAGGTGCAGGTTACCGTGCCAGAAGGCCGGTGTCGGCACTGCCAGCGCGGCCAGCGACAGACTCTGGCACCTTAGCTCATTGGCGTAGCAGCTCGATTGTTCCAATGTTTCGGTCTGCGAAGGTATGTGGACCTGTTCATACCGATCTCAGGCGGGAATGACAAGCAAATTGGGCACTAGCTTAGGCCCCTTCCGATGCGGCACCTCTTGCATTGAGATGTTCAGGGAACCAGCAGCACCCGGACTCGTCGCCAAGGCGTGAATAGGAGTGGTATCGGTGAGAGCAGTCTAGAGGACCATTGGAAGCGCTGTGTGACATCCGGCCATAAGAGTTTGCAACGATGGAGGAGTTCTTCTTAAACGGGAGTCGTCGTAGAATCCCTTTCAGATGTAAGCATCGAGACAGTATTGGAAGGTCAAGGTCAAAAGGGCCCTAGTAGAACTCGCCAGACCCTGGGGCGTGGTGCGCTGGACGCCTTGACTCGCGCCAAGCGGGTGGATTTGCCAATGACCGCCCATGCCTTCCTGGCCACGATCGGGCAGGCACCGCAAGCACGTACACCATGTGCATGTATCCATGTTGATGCATAATCCATGTGTAACCTCACCCTCGTGTACATACCCACACATGTCTCTGTCAGTCGGTCTGTCTGTTTGTTTGTGCGTTGCTTTCTCTCTCTCGCTCTCTCTCCCTCTCTTACTGTGTCGGTCCAATTCTTTGATCGCGGTCCAGCTGAGATCTTTTGCGATCAAGAGGAATGAACAAGATGGATGTTCACGACTTGGATGCCTTTCGGTTTCAGTTTGCAGGGAGCCGCATGACAATCGACGACTAGAGCACAGGCGCCAGAGATGGCAAGCAAGCGTTTCACTGGCGCATCTAATTACATATGCGCATATAAGTGGGTGTGTGTGTACATATATATAATATACATATATATGTATATATATATATACGCAGATAGTATGCATATCAAGTCTCTCTCTCTCTCTCTCTCTCTCTCTCTCGCTCTCACTTTCTCTCTCCCCACCTCTTGGCCGTCGGTCGGGGCTTCGTTCAGACCAACGCTTTACTGTGGTTTCACTCAGGTCTGCAAGATGCCAGAGACCGCCAACCTCCGCCTTTTGGTAGGCCGGGTGATCTTTACGTGAAAAGGAGCATCGAGCAAACCTGTTTCCCTCGTCGTTCTGGTTTTCTAGTTCATGTCAGATTCACCTCCACAGTGCTGGTCGCAATAGTATTATTTACGCGCGACGCGGCTACGCGGCCATGCATGCGCGGTCACGCGGCCACGTGGCCACGGACCCCGCGGCAGCAGCAGCAACAACAACAACAACAACAACAGCAACAGCAACGACAACGACAAACACAACCACAACCACAACCACAACCACAACCAAACAACATTTCATTCACAAGAAGCGGGTGGATGATTCATTCACACGCAGCGAGAGGATGATCGCGACTTTGTGAAACTTGTCCTCGCTTTGCGAGTGTTTGACCGACCTACTGTGGTTCTTTAAGCTTTCTTCCCGTGAGATTTCTCTCTTCCTTCTTTTGGAGAGGGCAGCTCTCTTTCTTGGGAGTAATTCCTTTTCCTTCGTTTTGATCTCGCTCGGTCTGGAAACTAACTCTTCCAGAAAGCTCCCGCTGCAGGCCGTGCCGACACCCGGCAACTGCATTCACCCCGTCCCGTAGGACAGCAGGCTACCGGGGGGTTGGTGTAATTGAAACCTTGTGGGATGAGAACTAAGGGGAGCATACTGCTGGAAAGGAACTTGGCTCAAGCTTGTCCTATGTGCGAAAAACCCTGATAAGGCTGTGAATAAGCACTGCTCCTGCGTCTGCCTCGCCCCTCCGGGCAGGGTGCGAGGATGACCTGCAAGAGCACTTATGTCTGTTTTGGGTTCTACCTGTGGCGTGTGTGGGGGAGCTCATTAGTATTGCTCAGGTACTTCTGCCCACGCTGAGTCCTGCAATGAAGTCTCTCCATCTTGCTAAACAGCTATGTTCGAGAGGCCGGATCTGCGCGGGCCACCATTACACTCCAGCCTGTTGGGGAGGGAAACCCGGCCGGAGTAGAGGCAGCTCTGTTCCTCGAACCAACGGGATGTCAGCCGATGTAGCTCCGGGTGCTGTGTCTGGAGCAGCTGATCTGTGGTCAGTCCTGTCGCCAACGATGCCAAGTTTGGCGTCTGGCCGTGGTTGATGGTACACCTAGTAGAGAATACTCCTGCCGGAGGCATGGCCTTCGCGGGTGGCGGGCCTCCGGCCCGAATCGGAGGACCCTTGGGCTCTGTTGCCTTGGCTGCCGCTGCTGGTCCGCCTCCGGCTGGGCCGTCCTCCAATGCGTTTTCGATCTCATCGTTGTCCGAGAGGTTGTCTGTGGATCCCCTACTTCGGGTTCCACGACCTTAGTCCTCGAACCAGAGTGACGTAAGTGCTCCGGCGTTGATGGAGAGCTGAAGGCAGAGTGATGAGTGTGAGATCGAAATGTGCTAGCTTCGGTTGATACAAAATATTGTGCATCGTGGCTGAGAAGTGGCTCGGAGTCTCACCGTCGTCCGTCCACCACATCTTACCGGTGCCTTCCACCAGAAGAGCTCTATAGTGCCCACTGTGGGGAGTTGATCCTAAGTGGACTGCTGCAGCACTCAAGAGAAACTCACGCTGGGTTAGGGAACCTTCAACCCAGCAGGGGAGGTGGATCTTGTTCGGCAGGGAAACTGGTGTGGAAAGCTTGTGCACTGCACGGTCCCGCACAACAAACCGGTTCAGCTGCAAGGCCACACAGGTTGTGCCTGCATGAAGGGCAGGCGGGGATGTGACAGCTTGCCAGGATCTTACAATGCTTTGTAGCGGGCATGTGCCTCTGA